GAGGCAAGATGTGCCCTTGGACAGCCCTGCTCCAGAGGCAAGATGTGCCCTTGGACAGCCCTGCTCAGGAGGCAAGTCCTTGACCACCCCTCCCTGCTGCCTTCCCTCCCAGGGTTTCTCCCCAGGCCCCGCGTGCTCTCAGCTGTTCTCTTTCTCTTCCTCCATCACACTTTCGTTTACGTATTTCAGTCCTCTGCAAAGATGAGCTGGACGTCCTCCTCTATAGCATTTAAACTTGTTTTTAGGCAAGGAGCCTAAAATTGTACAAAACTATACCAGAAATTCTCTCAGTGAATTTTATTCTTAGTAATTTTATCTGACGACTTTCTAAGATTTTCCTGAAAATTACTTTGAAGGCATGTTCCTTGAAGGAGGAAGAAACAGAAGGCTTTCAGTGCAGCTGGGACATGTTTCTGTACTATTCTGTGTAATCCCCACAGTGACCGCACGGCACGGCTTTTCTCCCCTCTATTTTACAAGCAAGGACACTGAGGTTCAGAGGATACGGGGGCTCCCTGAGGTCACTCAGCTAGATGGTGACAGGCCTAGGAGGCTGCCCTGGCATGGGAGCTCAGAGTCACTGCTCCCAGCTTTGGGGAAGACACCCCAGACACACGTGGACTGCCATTAAGGAAAATGAGCGCTGGATAAATGATATGGAATGAACCAAATAGAGCAGCTGGTGTTAGGAGCAGAAATAAAAGACAGTGAAGGGGTTTCAGCCTCCCAGAAGTGAGCCTGTGAGGAGAAGGGACAGCTGAGTCTCCAGGGAAGATCAGGCACCAGGGGCTGTTTTCCCGCAGAGTGAAGATCACGAACAGTATTACTGGGTCACACGTGCTTGTTACCAAAAATATTTGTCTTTGCATAAAAGATAAAGCTCAAAGCAATTGTATGTATCTAATTAAGAAATAACAATCTTAATAATTCTGCATGAATCTTAACCTTGACCTTAACCTAGTACCTGTCCTAGGTTCTATAAGGATTGACTGAGGGAGTAAGTGATACCTAGCCTCAGATGCAGTTGGAAAGCACTCTCTCAGGGAGACTCTAAATGAGGCTGAGGACTGATAAAAATGTCAAGACAAAAATTAAGAGAAGCAGATGTTAGTGGAAGTCTAACCAAATAGTGAGGTGGCCTCTTCAGATTTCTACTAGACCTAGATTCCTAAGGTATGAAATATTTATCAGCGAAACCCTGATCTGGATTGCTAACCCTCAAATAGAGAACACTGAAATTTTGCTGGGCACAGACTGATTTTTCTTTCCTAGCTTTCACGGTTATCAAGCATAGTGACCTCTATCCACCAAGGCTACCAAAACACACTTTGTAATAGCTCAAATTAGCATTTTCACTTGAATTACTAACTCTGGGGTCCTTAAATATTAAAAATGCTAAATCAGATACAGTAATTGGACTGAATATGTGCACTGTGAAAGGCCGTTGGAATGATGACAGTGATGGCTGTGGGCCCCGGGGGCTGGCACACCCTGCACATGACGGCCAGATTCTGGGTCTGAATGAGCCCACCTCTGTAGCTCGCCAAGACTGTTGTCACGATTGGCTGTGGCCAGACCAGGTGAGTAGGACTCCCTTCAGGAAACTAAGAAACTTCATGGTATAAATCCACAAAGAAAAGCCTTTTTCTATGCTGCTTTACTTGTAAAACTATAAAAGCCACATTCTTGGTTTCCCCGGTCTAAAATTTCTACTAAATACACAAATGACTACTTGTTACAAAAACATGCTGTACAAGAGACATTTGGCAGAACCCAAAGGGCTCTGCTTCTGTTTCTACGTGAGATTAGGGCTTTCTCAATTTTAGGAGGATGTTGGCACCTAAGCTATGAATTACACATGATTCGCTTTGGCAGTATCTGCCTGAGAAGGATTTCTGTGGTTGTTTCTCTTCCAGTGATCTGGAGAATTCTCAGGGATAACAGCACCTTTAGCTCCAGGACACAGTGGCCCATGTAAAAACTGTTCCTGAAATGGCATTGATTGTAAGACCAGAGATTTCTAAAGAGACAATTCTGTCAACTAGATAGCTAATATTTCCCAAATTTGGCTTTTTATCTCAAATGATGAAAGGAGGTAACCCGAGGAAAGTAATTCTTATCCCACAGACACCATCCAGGAGAAAATGAGCTGTTCTGATTTCTCCCCACTTGAAGAACGGCTCTTTTATTTGTCTTTATATCACTTTTGCATCTAGAGGTGAAAATATATGATTTTTGAGATCAACTCATGTGGTTACAGAACTGACCCAAATTGCACATACTTTATTTTCAACATAAAGGTGTCAAATTCATGTTTCTTCCTCACCTCAAAGTAAGGTGTCCAGTGACTATGCACACGCACAGAAAAGACCTCCTCAGCCCAGTGACTACGCACACACACAAAAAGACTTCCTCAGCATGACACGTTACCACATTTACCTGGAGCCTGGGCATGGCTGCTGGCTTTAGGAGATGGCGTGAAAAGAATCTGCAGAGGTTGGAAAACCACCCTTCTTCCCTCCAGGCACTAAGGTACAGGCCCCTTTGTCCTGCTCCTTGGACGCTGCCGATGGAAACACAATTGATGTCGTAGCAGATTGGGAATGATGCTTACCTGGGCTCACACCCTGCTGTGGCCTGAATGTACGAATGGGGAGTGTACACTTAAGTCATGAGTGATGGAAAGACTTGATATTTGGCAAACAAAGCTATCAAGGGCTATTGCAATGAACTCAGAAATAACCATTTCTTAAGAGAGAAAACTCTGATTCTTTGGTTCTTTTGATTAGAACATACATTTTAGTTGGAGCTGATGGATTACTGATGGGAGGTAAAAAATGAGTGGCAGCATCTGAGGCTCAAAGGAGTAGGACGCTGACTCCATATGCTGGAGGTGGTGAGTTCAAACCCAGCCCCAGCCAAAAATTCCAAAAAAAAAAAAAGAAAGAAAAAGAAAAAAGACACAAGAAGTAGTGCATAGAGCAAGCTGTTTGCTAGTCAGAACTGCTGGATAAGCCACACTTACAGATTTTAGGATCCCTGTGGCATCTTCATGGAGCCAAGTTGGGTAGACCACGTCATCATTCAGGATGGCCTCGAAAAGGTCATCTTCATTCTCTGCCTCAAAGGGCGCGTGGCCACACAGCATCTCATAGAGCAGCACACCCATGGCCCACCAGTCCACGGCAGGCCCGTACAGCATCTCTTGGAGGATCTATGCAGGGGAGCAGCATGAGAAAGGTTTGCACACATGATTAACAAGTGTGTTCTCTAAGACTAGGAAGGGGATGGACGAGGAAATATCAAAAGTACACCGCATGTGTGTTTCACTCCATCTCCATGGGGGAGTTTGTCTTCCCTGTGTTCAACTCTGCGACACCTTCTCATCTAAGTGAGCAAATACTCATGGCCTGCTCAGGCCAAGGTGTGGAACGTGCAGATCCAAATCAGAAGGAGTCTGGACACAGATCAGTGTAGAAGGGCGAGGAGGATGGGTTCCTTTACCCAGATGGGAGAGATTTGAGAGCTTTTCTCTCGTTCTGCTAAATGGGGCTGGGATTAAATCATTGAACAAAGAGGGAAATAAATTAAATAGCTATGAGCAGAGCCCATGGTGCTTTCACTTAGGGCTAAAGCCTAAAGTGACTACAAAGTGTGCCAAAAAAAATTTAACTCCAATTCTTATTTAGGGGGACCCAGGACATTCTTAGCTGCTATTCGCCAATGAATCATCAATGAGTCTGGAGGCCACGTGTGAGCTCCCTGCACCTTTTAACGCTGCCCCCAAAGCTGCAGTGCATGAAGCAGCAGGTGGCTCTCCGGTTTCTGAGGGTCACTGTGCAGCTCGGATTCCAGAAGCCGCTCTGAGCAGCTGCACTCACCTCTGGAGCAATGTAGTCAGGCGTGCCGCAGAAGGTGGCCGTGGCGACTCCGTCACAAATCCCCTCCTTGCACATGCCAAAGTCTGCCAATTTGCAGTGACCCTCATGGTCCAACAGGACATTGTCCAGTTTCAGATCTCTGAAAGACACAGAAGTAGCATGGGAGAGGCAGCCAGGCCCCAAACCCTCCACCTGGAAGGCCTAGCTCACAGGAAACGGTGTGCAGACCACAGTTGGCCATGTGTGCACTCCCTGCACACCCTTCAAACGGAACACATTTCTCTGGGCTCTGGGGATAAAAATGGAGATCAAGTGTCAGAAGCAAGCTCAAGGTCCCTAGATGGGGCACACTCGTGAACATACTAACCACATACGAAAGCTGAAGGTAAGATGCAGCTTTTCCAGGCTTTCCACTTACCGTGAACCCATAGGAAATCCCCCCGCCCACCCCCGTCTTCTATTCCAGCACCCATCCCTGCCATTAGAGTTCACTGAGTGAGAGCAGGTGGCCACTGTGGGCCAGGGACAGTGACAGGCACCAGGAGCACAGATGATCTTCACCCTCAAGAACTCACAGAACAAAGAGACAAATATTTCCTAGGCTCTAAGTTCCACAAAGGCAAAGAGATCAGGTTGATCTGGCTCACAATATGCCTGCGTAGTGTACTCAAGACATACTTGTTTTACACACACGCACAGAGGGGGTTAGAGAGCACACCAACTGCTGTATAATCCAAGTGGTGTGAGGAACGGATGAACCAAACGGTGTGAGAGAAACAGAAAGGGGACCAACTCCTTCCTTCCAGTGGGAGGACAGAGACCCAGACTCACAGAAGATGCAGAACTCATGTGGGGTCTGGAAGTGTGAGTCAGAGCCTCAGAGGCAGAGAAGGGGAGTATGAGAAGTCGCCATGGGCAGTGAGAGGGAGCAGGTGCCAGCGGCAGGCACAGGGCACGGCTGAGCAGGTGCGCTCTGAGAGCTCCATCTGGGGATCCTGGGGGCACTGAGGCCAAGGCCATGAGAAACCATAGGACTCAAGTGGAAAGTTACATCCTTCAAACTGTGAATGTTCGGGAGTGCCACGCTAAGGCATTTTGATGTTTAGATATTAGGCCAAAAGGACCCATTGAAGCTCTGGGAGTAACAGGTTCTGGCTAAAGGAGGAAAGATCAGCTAAGAGCAGCTGAGCTGGCCCAGGGAGGGGAGGCTACGACCTGAACCAGGACACTGGTGGATAAGGTGGAAAATAAGGGGCCTGTGAGGGGGAGGCAAGCAGCGCTCCGGTCCAGGCAAAGTCAGGAATAAGTCTTGATAACCATGTGAGGCAGACCAGAGAGAAGCTGCAGAAAGGACGAGTCCACTGGCTTAGATCCAGTGGGTTCTGGGGATGTTAACCAGGAAAAGGAGAAGCAGGGTTGGTTTGCATGTACCCAGGTACATGAGAGGCCTAGCAGGTGACGGAGAGCCCAGCAAGAAGGTGTTTCCCACCCTCTCTCAATTCCTAAGAGTGGAATCTGCTAGAAAGGAGTGAACTGTCAGCAGTAGGGCTATTTGGTAAAAAGCCTTAACGTAGGATGAAACATGGCTGCACCTGGGTAGAACCGTCTACAAATGCATGGTAGTGCTTTTTTCAAACAAGCCCTCCCCAGAATGGGCTTCCGGCTCCTGGTTCTCCTGCCTCCAGCCACATCCTAGGCACTGGTACAGAGCAGGATGGATCAGGGCAGACTGGGAGGGTCCTACAGACCACACCATCACCAGCCAGCCTAGGGAGGGCACAAAAAGCACCTTGGTCTACCAGGGAGACGGTGATGCCTTGTTCTTCAAAGGGATAGTGTGTTCAGAGGCAAACCACAGAGGCTCATCAGTGAAGAGGCAGCTATGTGTCACATGGGGGATGCGGATGACCTAGGGCCCTGTGGTTAGTTGTGTTGAGCTGCTGAGTGTCCCCCCAGTGTGGCTGCAGGTGACTGTGGGCTGTGTTGGGTGCTGGTGGTTCTGTTTCTATCCCCAGTCTCCGGATAAATGGTCAGCTGTCCTGCCTGTCCCAAGGCTGGTCCCTGTCCAACCCAGATCACATTCCTGCCCTAGAGGAGGGAGGTGATGACAGGCCCAGCCTTGGTCCTGTTGGTGGATGCGGCCTGGCCACGCAGGTCCCATAGACTGTGGTCCTGGAAATGAACCCCTCTGTTCATTCTCTGTTTTCCAAGAATCTGAGATCAGTGTGGTTAAAGCAGCAGAATTTCCCTGGCCTGGGTCCACAGGAACACAGCACAGACCCTCTCTCTGCTCCTCTGCTCCCAGCAGGGCCTCTCTGGGTATAGGGGTGTAAGGAGAGGGGGTGTAAGGAGAAGGTGCTGCAGGCCCAGGCACCCCCTGCAACAAACCAAGCAAAGACTCTTCAGCCCACAGCTCAAACCCGCCCTGGCTCCCAAGGAGCCCTCCCCGTCCCCATGTAGAATCCTATTCCCCACAAAGTGGATGCATTTGGTTGGCTGTGACTGTGGGTGCTATTCCCCCACCCCCACCCCCGCCGCCCAAGTATAAGCATAGTGAATTTAAACTGCAGGAAGTCAGGATTGCAGGAGTGTAGGGCAGGGGCTGAAGATGACAGGGGTCACATCCCATGAGGGAGGCCCCTGCCAGGAGCATTGGCTGTTAGTCCTTCCACGGGAGGCTCCTGACCTGGGAGGCCCTGTGAGGCCCGATGCCTGCTCCTCTGGGGGTGGCGGCAAGAGTTAGGGATAGTGAGGTGCAGCCAGGGCACAGTGAGATGCAGGCTGGGGCACAGTGAGGTGCAGCCGGGGCACAGTGAGGTGCAACCTGAGGCACAGTGAGGTGCAGCTGGGGCACAGTGAGGTGCAGGCTGGGGCACAGTAAGGTGCAGCTGGGGCACAGTGAGGTGCAGGCTGGGGCACAGTGAGGTGTAGCCGGGGCACAGTGAGGTGCAGGCTGGGGCACAGCGAGGTGCAGCTGGGGCACAGTGAGGTGCAGGCTGGGGCACAGTGAGATGCAGGCGGGGCACAGTGAGATGCAGGC